AATACCCTCCTTATCACATTCAGTACTCAAAAACAAATTACTATTAAACATATAATAAACTACCTCTATATAATCACAACCTCCTTATAAGCACATTTTTTTTAAAAGTTCTTAAGTAAACAAAATGTGTGATTATAGAGGGGGTTGACTGTATATAATTTTTTTTCAAAATTTGAGCGAAGATATCTCAGTAACTATCTATCAAAAATCAATAAAAACCTTTTTATTTTAATTCTATGAATCCATAGAATTAAAATAAAAAATTTTCAATTTTGGATGGGTAGTTATCGAGATATCATCGCCCAAAGTTTAAAAAAATTTAGGCAATTATCAAAACAACTGGCTAAGTTCTTCCCAAACTTTGGGCGATGATATCTCGGTAACTATCTATTCAATCGATGAAAATGTTTTTTATTCTATGAAATTATAGAATTAAAATAAAAAATTCTCATTAATGTTAGGTAAGTAGTTATCGAGATATACGCGTTTAAAATTCAAAAAAATTTTAGACGATTATCAAAACGAAAACCGTGGCCAAGTTTTTTCCAGACTTTGAGTGATAATATCTCGATAACTATCTATTCAAAATCGATGAATTTTTTTTGTTTTAATTATATGAATTTATAGAATTAAAATAAATTTTTTTTTACCGATGCTAGACGATAGTTATTGAGATACCATTTAGTGGAGAGATAATAAAAAAGATTTTCCTATCCTTTTCAAGATATCTCACAACTATTTAGGAATTCCTGCGACTTCCGTTCCTAGCGAACGTTTTTTTTAGTGATGCAGGTAAGCAAATAACAGATGAAAGAAATAGGCTTAAGCCTGATACATTTTTACTATTGAATTTTTCAAATTTTTTCTTTTTATAAAATGGTTAAATACAATACGCTATATAGTCTTAAAATTTTTTGTAAAGAAAATGAAAGAAGTTTTAACGAATACAATATGTTGCAGAATTTAAGCTAATGTCAGATGAATATGTATTTAATAACTGCTTTATTAATAAAAAAATTTTTATGATTATTTAATAAATACTAGCATATTTAGTATACATGATTGAATTTATTATAGAAATTTGCTTGTACATCAGAGATTCGAGAAATTTAATTCGGTTTTCTAATTCTGATATATATGTATATAAGTGAAGCAAATGTGTATTATCATGATCATGTAAAATAGAAAAGTTATCTCTTGGTAAAGAATTTATGTCGGATATGTGAAAGGCATGAGTGCTAAGGGAATATGGATAATAAAGTTCACAAAGACCGTTGTCATTCAATAAAATATCTTGCTCTTGCGTATCAGATTGATTGGATCCAGTATTATAGGCATCAAAATCATAAGTATAAAAGAAATTCGGATTATAAGGAATGTTATCCGTTAAAACATTTTTACTGATTTCTGCATTATATTGGATAACTGAATCATTACCAATTGGAAAGAGAATGCCGTCTGAATTATTAATGCCAGAGCAAATATCAGGAGAACTTGGATTGTCTGAGTTCAAAGGAGAAGTTAAGTTTCCATAAAACTTATTAAAAAAATATTGATTAACATATCGAATACCTATTTTGTTCCAAACTTCTTTTATAATAGCATCAAAATCACGATTATTCCAACCAAATCCAAGTGCTTCATTATGAGCTTTAATGTTCATTATATACAATTTCAAAGATTTAGCTAGCACGTTGCCCGTTTCAACCTTATACATAAGGTATTCCTTTAGGTAGTTTTCTTTGACAGGAAAAGCTGATTCTTCGGGGTGCGAACTTTTTATAAAATTGGTGTAATTTAAAACACCGTTTCTTGTTTCCGTTATTTTTGGATTCTTTTTCCTACGAGCCATTATTATTTGAAAATCCATTTGCATGCAATTTCGGAATTTAGGTCTTATAGCATATATGTTGGTAAAATTACGTATTAATATGATCAACGTTCATAAATACCAAATTAATATCACTCTCGAAAGTGCAACAGTAATTAGTGTAACGGTAATCGCTAATAATTAACCATAGCTGTCGCAACAAAATTGATTGGCTGTACTATGTAAACATGTGACGATCCTTGATATTTACAAATTTAATCTTATTTTTTTTAATAGTAATACTCAGATCATCCTTTTTCATTTTACTGTGCATTATATACCAAATAATGCCTGTAATTGTGAACGCTAGGAATACTATAAATGCAGTAATAAGATCGATGGAAAGAGTATAATCAATTGTTGATGTGGTGTTAATGTCAGTTGAATGTCCAGGATCAAAACTTAAGACCCATTTGTAATCGGATTTATTGCTTGCGTCTAAAATGCTGATTTCGGAATTAGTTGCAACTGGACCTGAACTATCTTGCCCAAAGGCTACGATCATAAAATTCCCAACCATTGTTGCAGTGTGGTATATTCTTATTGGTGGAGAGAATGCGGATACTGTACGCGGAACGTATACGTGATAAACAAAATAATTTATGAATCGTTAATATTAATTGAATCAAAAATTATATATTTTATACGGTATCTGTCATGATCTTTTTCTTCTCTCTCTATGCCGTTTCATGGTAATTTGATAAATAGTGAATATATTTTTCATCGGTTTCACTATTGCTGATTGCATCAAATATGCACCAGAAATCTTTATAATTTCCCTCTTGATTTAATCTTTTTGCAATTTTAAATAACCTGTCTGAATTTTCATCAAAAATTCTTTTATATTCATTTTTTACTTTTTTAGGATCTACATTCTTCTTAAAAGATTATTGTATATATGAGACCACGGCGTGATGTAATCTTATTGGCCTTAACATGTACTGTATTTAATTTTCAAGAATTTAAATTAGAATCTTTTTGTTGACTTAAGTCCTTAAGGAAATATTTATTTTTCTAGATATCTTGATTGCTCCAATACTTAATTAATCAATAATCACTGTGTATATATAATTAAATCTAGATATTGAACGAATTATTTTTTAGTTGTCCTTAATAGAGTTTAAACAATTTAATCTATTCACCGAATAATTCATACTTCAACTCGTTGACATTGTAATTAAATAATTCATATTTAAATTGAAAAATCTAATCACCTGTATTGTGCAGCGTGTTAAAACTAAGATGGATTACCAATAAAAAATTAATTCCGCATATTGTGACAATTAGGTGCTCGCTATTCTTGAATAGGTTGTATTTTATATAAACCTGAAGTTCCTATATACTGTATTAAAATATAAATAAATGTTCTTGTCGCAACCTGTTACATGTAACAACCTCGAATTAGCCAATAGTAGTTAGAGTTAGGGTTCGGGTTATATGAATTTTTATTGGCTGTACTAATTAAGTTGTTACAAATAAGCGCGTAACAGGTTGCGACAATTAGATTTGTCCTTAAAATATATATCAAATGAAATTAACAAAATTAACAGATGATTGTTATTTAGAAATGATCAAAAACTTTGAATATAATTACCACACTTTATATAACTGTCTTTTAGTTAACCGCTTATTTTGATGCATAACAGTGCCTTTATTATGGGCTGACCTTTATATAATGTATCCAACTATTCTATAAATATCATATCTATTTATCTTTCCTATCTTAATGAAAATGAAAAATATCAATTGACTTCAAATACATGTCAAGTTGATCTATCATGTATTTTCCAAAAAAGATTATTTGAATATGCTGAATTTTTAGAGACTTATTCTAGCTGTAGGATAAAAAATGTCATCTCATTGTGGTATCAATATACTCAAGATAAATCTAAGTCTAGTTTAGAAATTCTAACTTTTATAGCTATCCAAAGCATGTTGTTTAGAAGATGTAAGCGAATGAAACTCAACATTTTAGCTAAAGATAACTCACCATTTTCTTTAATCCCTAGCTCATGGTTCAATTCATCAGAATTGAGAGAATGCGAATTTAAATTTGTTGTCCCAAATATTCAAAACACGAATGTATACAATTATATTAACTTAATTTCTATAAGAAACAAAAGAATTCAAATTATTCATATTATTACTTATAACGAAGATATACCACCAAATTGTCGAGCACCATTTTTAAATTTAATTAGTGCTCAAACTGAACTCAAGAAACTTGTGCTAAAATATTATAGTATTACCACTTCTAGTTTTATGCCTTTACTGCGACGTGAAATGCTGCAAGTAAAATCTCAAAGCCTTAGAAAACTAATTTGCAAGGAATCAAATTTGATAAAGATAATCTCACAAATCTTGTGCCAAACTTGGAAGTTTTATCAATAAAACATTCTTTTGGAAATCCTTTTGGAGAAGATGAAAATATTTTAAAATTTTCAGAGACTCGAATTAATAGATAATACTTTAGAATTAAATAGAATTATACTTAAGACAAAATGCAAATCACTAAAATTTTTTATAATAAATGAGAAGGAATTAAGCAATCAAATAAAAGAGGAAATTATTTTTTTGCTTAGTCAAAATCATCCAAACATAACTACTTTATGCTATGTGACTAATAATCTTATCTTCTCTTCTACACTTGAAAAATTTCATAGTCTTTGTCAACTTCAAATAGGAGAATTTGCTTATTATTATCTACCCTATAGTAGACAAAATTATCTACAAGCTTTAATCAAATATTTGCCTTGCTCTTTAAAAATTCTTAGCTTACTTAATATTTATGATTATAGTTACAAAAACTTGAATTGTTTTTTTAAAGAGTTTGATATAGAAAAGGTGGAGTTAGAAGTATTTATATTACCTTTTAATGTTGAGCTTAATCTACTTCCAAATTTAAGAAAATTTATTGAAAAAGCTAAATATTTAAAATATATAGAAATAGTGAGATCAAAGAATTATAATGTAGAAAAACAAAAAGACAGTAAAAGAGAAATAATTGATCTTTGTCATGTTAGAAACATCAAATGCGTATTAAACTTTCAATTAGAAACATATAAAGATTATTTTTGTACTTATGAGATAAAATTTGGATCTTATATAGAATAACTAATGTTTAGCATTAATGACACTTTCCAAATATTTGATATGCAATAAAATTTCCTTGTAACATTTAACATCAATATACCAGTGACTTAAGATCAAAAAATTGATTAGATGAATTAAATTTAAAAAAGTATTCAGATATATAATATGTTAACATCTTTGGTCAGTAAGAAATAAAAGTGCTATTTCGCCAATTGTCAACAGCTTCATCGATCATCATCAGGAATGTAATTTGATGAAACCATCAGTAAATTCAAAAATAGTTTCATCAAGTATCTTCGGCTGGAATGGGAATTGATTAAATAACATTACATATATGGCTTTGGTTAATCATGGCGGAGGTGTTGACCGGATAAAGACCTTTTGATGGTCTTGCGATAAAAATCTGTAATTGGTTGCGACCAGAATTCACGTCTGAAACACGTTAAGTTAGCAATTGTTGTAACACATAACGTTCATAGTTTTAACACAATTACTAAAAGAGAAACCTGGCAAAATTACTGTCTTGATCATAATATTAGTAATGCTTGCATTACTGAAACAAAAATTTTAGCAAAATCTAACCAACCCTTTTACAACAACAATCTTTTCACATATTTTTGGGCAAATTCAGATAGCTTAGCAGAAGGTGCTGCTATCATGATACGTAACTTTCTTCAACCACACATTCACAATTGTCTTACCCATCCCGGTGGTGCTATTGCTATTGATCTATTCTTTAAAAGCAATATTAAGCTTCGTATTATCTTAGTCTATCTTTCCTCTATGGATATGACAAAAAGGACTGCCACACAAACTACTATTATTAATTGGATCCAGTCTGCTTTACAACACAATCTTCATCCTATTATTCTTGAAGATTTCAATACACATAACTTTAACTTCTGTTCCTCAGCAAAATATAGACTCATAAATTTCTTACACCATTCTAATATGTATGATGTTGGTGCATATTTTGATAATACTCACTATACATGGTCTAATAATACTTACTCTAGCAGAATTAACTATATCTGGACTGATAAGTTTAATATCCAGTTTTTTTTATTATACAAACTAGATACTAGTGATACTAGTACTCGCAGTGACCATCTTATACTTAATACATCTTGGACATTTCTTAATGCTTATAGCAAACGTCCTCGTTTGCATATAGATATTAGCCGTCGTGTATTTAACTATAAAGATATGACTTCAGAAAATTGGTCTAAGTTCTCAGACCTTCTTTCAACAAAACTCAATCAGCACCAAACACCATTATCACTGCAAACTGCTGAAAGCATTGACACCATATGGCACAAGATTGAACATTCTATTATAAGTACTGCTATAGCAACTATCCCAAACAAAGTTAGTCGTAAACGCAGCTATAATCACAAATACACCCCTCACAGTATACAACTTTATCTGTCTCTTAAAAAACTTGATCATCTAATCAAAAATTTAAAAAACACTAATATAACTCTAGATATTTCTTCAGTTAATTTACAGATCCAGGATATTAACTCATGATTTCAATGTAATCTCCAAATTCTCTCAAGTTCAGATTCTGCCCAAATTCTAGAATGGATAAATCATGCTCAGGATATATGGTATCAACTGTACCAAGCACGCCATACTGAAAACTCTCTTCTTCTCCGTAAACAAATTCAACAAGCTTCTGAGAGGAGATGTGAAACTCTTGTTAGCAAACCTAAACATGCAATCAACAGCATTCTTAATCACTATCAAGCTCCTATTTATTTTTCAAATATTAAATTATTTGATCAATTGATTACTGAGCCAACTCTTATTAAACAACATATACAACAGCACTTTCATGACTGGACTGCTTACAAACCTATTAACCAAATGCTCTTTGATAGCTCTTGGCAACAAGAATACCTACCACAGACCCATATTGATTCTAATTGGTACAACACTCTTACTTTACCAATCACAATTGAAGAAATAACTTCAATTATCTCAAAGCTTCCAAATGGCAAAGCTTGTGGACCTACTGGCATCAGCTACGAAATGATTAAGCACTCTGGTCTAACATGTTTACAAGCTCTCACAGTTCTTTTCAATCTTTGCCTTACCCAAGGTCAAATTCCAAAACAATGGAAAAATAGTAGAATATTTCCTATACCCAAACGCAATACATTTGATGGCAACCTAAATCTTACTCGACCAATTAGTCTTGTAGAACATATCCGTAAAATCTATACTAAAATTATTACTAATCGACTCAGCACTGTATTTCAAAAATACTTTATTCTATCACCTTTCAACTATGTTGCCTACCTAGAAATTCTACTGCAACCCCTATACATATTCTCAATAATTTAATTGAGGATGCTATATGTAACTACAAAGATATATGGCTTTTGTCTCAAGACATAAGCAAAGCCTACGATTCTGTCAATCTTTCATTACTTCAGCACTCACTTGCTCGACTTGCCTTACCAACACCTATCATTCAAACTATAATCAATATTTTCACTGACTGCTATAATCAGGTTATAACCAATCTTGGACTTACTCCTTCATACCCTGTTCAAAATGGAATTGACCAAGGCAAAACTATTACTCCACTTCTCTGGAGAATATATTATGACCTACTTATATCACACATCCACTCATGGTTCTCCGTATATACTATACAAACATCTTGGATCACTAATCTCAAGAACAGATCATTTAACAAACTGCAAGCTAGATGCTCAGTCCTAGCCTATATGGATGATACACTCTGGCTAGCCTCCTCACAAAATGAACTATCTCAAATTCTCTCTACTGCCCAATCATTCTACAACATGGCTAACATACAAGTTAACCCTGCTAAATCTATCCTTTGTACCAATAACCCTCCCTCTCAATATACTCCTATTATGTACAATCAACACTTATTACCTTTACACTCACCCATATTCCTTTCAAATTCCTTGGATGCTGGTTTACACTCAACAACAAATTCTCAAAACTAACACAACTTATTATTGAGGAATCTTTACATCTTATTCAAATTACAAAAACTAAACGCATCACTGACACACATGCCCGTATTATTAATACTGTTATTATACCAACTATTGAATATCGACTTCATAATCTTGTACTTAGTCAACAAATCTGCAAACAGATACTCTCACACCATATTAAACTTGTTAAGCACAAGGCTAAGCTAAACCATACAATCCCCACAAGCACTCTTCTTCATCCACAACTTTATAATATCCAGAATATCTGGGATATTCAACTTCAACATCACATTACCAACTTTATTAAGCAAATTAATGACTTTAATCTTTTAGGTACTTGTTCCCGCATTCGCCTTTAACAACTTCAAAACAATCTTTGGTCACCTACAAACATCTTAACACATTCTAATCCTATTATTGATGGTCCTAATAAAAACTCAACTAATTTTAAGATTCTTAAGCTTTTTAATCATCTTGGTATATCAATTACTCACAATCCAACTTATGAAATTCCATACACTCCTCAAGAAGGCTCTATATCTCTTGAATCAATACTTCTATCACACCCCAACTATATATCTTTTAAGAAACAACTTCGCAAACTTCATCTTCTCTATTTAGACCAACTTTCTACATATGACAATTCTTGTCTCCTTAGCTAGGAGCATATTGCACCAAGACTTTGTAAAATACCTAAAGGAAGAAAACCTCTTTGGTTTACAACTCTTGAAGATCAAGTATTAGATCACAACAGTAACAGAACACTTCATGAACAATATAATCTTCCTGATATCAATTACTATAGCTTCTTTACTGGTCACTTTTCTTTAAAATCAAAGCCATGGCTCATAACTACTATTGAGGACTAAATAATAGTAGGCAAAGCAAGAAGACGGACCACTCCAACTAGTCTTGTTCTTATTATACACTGGCAATGTTCCTTTTTACTACAATTTACTAAACTATACCCAACTCAACCTATTAATTTTGGTATATGTCCTGGTTGTTTCTACAATTTTAATCTTATTGCCAATAGATGTACAATATTTATCCCTATCAATTTAGCATCTAGATTCTTTTGCACTTACAATTCTCAAGAAAAAACTATTAAACCCTATACTAATTATTTAGACTTAATATATTTTATTTCAATTCGTCACCCTCTTCATATTCCATCTACTCCTAGTATTCCTTACAACTCTGCTTCAATTCCACCTATTTTTGAACTTGGATCTCTTACTAATACACTCCAAACTATTGCCAACTCTAATACTCAACTCTCTGAAATTACCTTCTATACAGATGGCTCTGTTTTAGACTTTGGTACACAAAACTGTTCTATGGGTATTGGATGGGTACAAACTCATCAGAACATGATATCACACAAATTTCAAGCGCAAATCAAATACTGGCCATGCTCTTTTAAAGCAGAACTTGTTGCTATATTATTAGCAATTAGTACTGCTCCTAGATCTTGTATTATCTACATATTCACAGACTCACAATCTGTTATTTCTAAATATAATAGTCTTCAAAATTCACCACACTCTCTTTCTATTACAAACACTCCATACTCATTATTGTGGTATACCTTTATCAACTTTACTCAATCATACAACCACCAAATTATTTTTCACAAATTTACTGCACATCAAGAAGATCGGTTCAATAATCTTGCTGACCAATTGGCTCGTAGCCACCTTACTGCAGGCTTTCTTACTTTTAAACCTTATAATATCTATAATCTCAACTATTCTCTTCAGTTAGATGAATATCCTCTAGAGTTACCAACTCGACGTACTATCCACAATATATGTTACTCACATATCTATGCTTTGTGGTCATCTCAGTACAGATTTCAACAGTGGTCTCGAATCACTAGTCATATCAACTGGTCTGCTACTTGGCATTATAT